TTCCATCTTTTAGTTGTATTTTTGAAGTGGTTGTTCGAGGCAGCAAACTCCGGCGTTAACCTATGCCGCCATCTTGGTTCGGCATCTATTTTTTATTTTCTAAGTATTTAAGAAGACAATTTATTCACAAGATCATGTTTTTAATATATAAAATATATTTTTAATTTAAAGTATTTTATTGATTTTTAGAGAGAGAGGAAGAGAGAGAGAAACATTGATTTGTTGTTCCACTTATTCATGCATTCATCGGTTGATTCTTGTATGTGCCCTGAACAAGGATCGAACCCACAGCCTTGGCATATTGGGATGATGCTCTAACCAACTGAACTACCCAGCCAGGGCCATTTTAAAATTTTATACAAAGCCAAACAAAAGTCTCGCACTTGTACCACATTCACCCAGTTCACCTAGTTCCTACATCTCCCTAACACACAACCACTGTTACTAGTTTTTAGTTTATTCTTTAAGGCATTTATTTTGTTTTGTTTGCATATAAAGTCAATGTGAAAATATTTTTCTCCATTTTCTAATATAAATGGTAACATACTTTACACGTAGTAATGTACTTTGCTTTTATTATTTAAAAGCATAGCTTGATGAGTGTTCCAAATGGGTATGTAAAGAGCTTAAATACCTGCATCCAATTTTATTGTGTCTTTCCTATTTTATTGAAACTGTTCCCTGTTGATGGACTTTTTGGTGGTTCCCATTCCTTTCTTCCTTCCTTTATTTTGAAAGATTTCAAACCAGTGAAGTTGTAGGAATAGTACATTGAACACCTATATATTTTTTATCTGGAATCACCATTTATCATCATTCAGCCACTTTTGCCTTATTTTTTATTGATTTCAGAGAGCTGAAGGGAGAGAGAAAGTTAGAAACTTCAATGAAGAGAGAGAATCATCAATTGGCTGCCTCTGGCATCCTCCCCCACCTCCCCAGGGATTGAACCTGCAACGTGGACATGTGTTCTGACTGAGAATCAAAACCGTAACCTCCTGGTTCATGGGTCGACACTCAACCACTGAGCAACACCAGTTTTTCCATTGATTTTTAGAGAGAGTAGAAGGGAGTGGAGAGAGAGAGAGAACATCGATGTGAGAGAGACACTTTGATTGTTTGCCTCCCGCACACTCCCTGACTGGGCTGGGGATGAACCTGCTACCCATATATATGCCCTTGACTGGGAATGGAACCTGCGACCTTTTCATGTGTGAGCCGATGCTCTAACCATGGAGCACACTGGCCAGGGCTGCCTTATCTCTTTACATGTACACACACATACTTTGCTTTTACACTGAACCATTTGAAAGTTAGTTGCAAGTATCATATCATCTCACCCCTAAATGTTTCAATATATATCTTCTAAGAACATGGACATTCTACATAAGTACAACACCATTGTCTCCAAATGTTTAATATTTAAATAATAATGTTATCTAATTGATAGTCAAATACTTAGATTTCTCTAGCTGTCCCAAAATATCATTTATAGATGATTTTCTCCCCAGTTCAGGATCTAGTCAGAAATCACATGTTCCACTTGGTTATCAATGTTTTAGTCCCTCTTATTTTATCTTATTTCTTTTTTTTAATATGTTTTTTATTGATGTCAGAGAGAGGGAGAGGGAGAGAAAAGCATCAATGATGAGAGAATCATCGAGATTGGCTGCCTCTTGCACGCCCTCTACTGGGGATCAAGCCCACAACCCAGGCACATGCCCTGACCAGGAATTGAACTGTCACCTCCTAGTTAAAGCCACACTGCCCAAGCTCTTAGTCCCTTTTAATCTAGAACTGTTCCCCAGCCTTTTCTTCCTTCCTTCCCTCCCTCCCTCCCTTCCTTCCTTCCTTTTCTTCCTTTTCTTCCTTTCTTCCTTTCTTCCTTTTCCTTTAATCTTTCATGATGCTGACTTTTTTTGAAGGATCCAGGCCAGGTTTGTTTGTTTGTTTGTTTTTGTTTGTTTTGGTTTTTTTTAATATATTTTATTGATTTTTTTACAGAGAGGAAGGGAGAGAGATAGAGAGTTAGAAACATCGATGAGAGAGAAACATCGATCAGCTGCCTCCTGCACATCTCCCACTGGGGATGTGCTTGCAACCCAGGTACATCCCCTTGACCGGAATCGAACCCGGGACCCTTCAGTCCGCAGGCCGACGCTCTATCCACTGAGCCAAACCGGTTTCGGCTGTTTGTTTTTTAATAACCCACATTTGCTTGATTATTCCTCATGATTAGATTCTGATTAGATAATTTTGCCAAGAATACTTTATAGGTATGGACTTCCCATTGCATTTCCTCAAAAGGCATATAATGTAATTTTATCTCATTATTGATGATAGTTTGGTTAAGGTGAGTTCAGGATCTTCCAACATCACCATCTTGGACTACCTCAATGGCAGCCTTTCAAACTAGTGTCCTTTTGAGATATCACTATTACTTTTTGAGCATTTCCTTGCTTTCTGGCACAAGATATTCTTTATGCTCACCTTGGGCCTACCTTAGACCTGTAATTTCTCTAAGGAACTGAAAATAGTGCTTAGAAACTAGGATTTGGGCAGTATGTGGACTCACTACTATGGGGTATTGTTGCTTCTCAATCTGTTCAGTAGATATGTGTATGTATTATGTATCTAGTTTCAGGGTTTGTTTGATTTTTTTTACTCATGAATTTATACTGATAACTCTAATTCCATTTTATATTTTCCCATATTCCATTGTGTATTTCCTTTCCCATACAATGAATAACCTGGTTCCCAACAATGTCTGTATATTTAC